CCCCCCCCCCCCCCACCCCATGTCCATCGTCCTTTTTTCTCTTACCTGGTGCTCCGGCACAAGCGTGTGCTCCGTGATGTCCAGCATGAGCTCCGCGTCCTTAAAGTCCTCTACCTGGACCTGCGCACGGGACAGGGAGGGGTTGCTGTTGCCGTTGTTGTTGTTGCTGCTACTGCTGCCGCGGATATCGTCACCCTTGACGTGGTTTAGCGTCAGTTTGTTCGTAAAATCACACAGTAAAAATACCATAGCGGTTGTGTTCACCAGAAGTCTCGCTGGACGTAGACTTCGCTACTAACGCATTCTAAAAGTAGGCGTGCACGTATGCGTGTGCGCTGTTTCATGCGAATAGGTTTAAACAGCGCACCTCTCGCTGGGCGCAGAGTTCTTGAATGGCGGACCTAGCGAACGGAGTAATGCCGCCCTTGATGACGATGATGGCCCTCTTGACCTCCTCTTCCAGCATCTTCTCCGAGTAGCTTCTGATGGGCTTCACACCGACCTTCTCGTCGTCGGGGAAGAAGACGAAGATCTGGTCCATCGGGTCGTCTACCTGCAGCACCGGCACCGGCATCGGCACCGGCATCGGCACCGCCACCACCAGATAGATGGACCACAGAAGCAAGGGCGATACCAACAGCAGAGAGTGCGTCGTAGCGAAGCAGTCAAACCACGATTCGATACAACTTCCGCATTCTTTCTTCATCCGGCGGCGGAGGAGACGCAGGTCCAGTCCTCAGGTGGCCACGGCAGTAGCAGACGATTTTTTTGTTTTTGTTTTCCACATGGATTAAAAGTGCATAAAATCTCAGTCAAACCGGTTGAGAAACTTGGGAGGCATTTGGTGACGCAAACGCCGTGTCCACATTCAACCATACGTGCGGAGTACCAGTAGGTTGGAAAGGGTTGTAGGTCTTCCGCTTCGCAAGACGAGTCAGCGAGCGTCCACGGCTTGAAGGGAAGGCAGAGTTCTGTCCCACAATACCACTGGCAGTATGGTATTTGCCAAGGACGTCCGTGGGGACAGAGTTGAAGCACCACATACATAGCCAGCTGAAATACTGGTTGCGTCAACGAGCTCGAAGCACAAAGACGAATGGACCCAACTACCAAGCGGCGGCGACCTCCGTGCTATCATAAGAGGCAGGCTAAGACAACGATCACCCTCATCACCCCCTCAACACAAAATATGTCCGTACCAAGACAACTTACAGCTGAGACGTGCTAGTGTCAGCCACATAGACTCGGCTGCAGTCGTAGATGATAGGGACGAAAATCACGAGGGAAAAGAACCCCAAAGCTATGGAAAACGTGTTCCGCGGCTGCCGGCACACAATCCTCCTCCCAACGACCCTCCCCTTACCTTTTCTACCAGCAGCGTCAAGTCGTGTCTGTTGGGCTCGGGCCCGTACTGCTGCAAGAATGCCTCCGACGTCATGGACACGTGCTCCTGCAGCACGTTGTAGCCTCGCTTCTCCAGCATCTTCATGCACGTCTGCCGAATCCGGTAGATCTTGTGCCCCTCATCTGATAGCCGCGGCCCCGAGCCCTCCATCTCTCAGCTGCTGCTGCTGCTGCTGTAGCGTCTGCTGCTGCTTTGCGCTCCCTCGCAAGAATGATTCCTCCTGGGCAGTTCGCTATTGGCGATTCCTACACCACAGATCCTTGCACCCCGAGCAAAGCCTCACGGCGGTGGCGTGCCTGTGGTAAAACCTCGGTGCTTGGCACAACAGGCACCTGCCTGCTGTGGGCAGAGGGCGGTGGGACCACACCCGCGGCCGGTTGTCTTATCCCTGGCGCCACTCCGAAGCACTCTGGCCCTTTGTTCCTGAAATAAAAGGCCTGGACCCGATTTTCAAGCACTCTCACACTTCAGACCGATGAGCCTGAAGGAAAAAGGAAGGCAGGATGCTGTTGAGTTGGGTGCTGTGTTAGCTCAGAAGGAGTGAACAACCGCTCACGCGCTCACGACGACAAAGACGGGGATCGAATGGAGAATGGAACGAAAAGAGTTCAGCGAGTTCCCAAGGCGTTATCATAAGTTCCGCCGCCCCTCTGCTCCGTGGGCTCTATCAGCAATGCTGAGAGCGCTCATCCTACTGCTTGCCGCTGAGCGTCTTCTCCTAGATATGGGTTGGTTCGGCCTCGGGCGACGTAAACCTGCTAAAGAAGGCGCTCCGTCTTCCCCCACCCTATCGACCGATGGAATCAACATTTCAAGTGAGTCCCGTCTGAATTTCTCCTTGATCGTCCTCTCCTTGTGGCCGCCGATACATAATGGCATGATGGCATGAGTCGTTCCGGCCCTAGTGTACTGACAGCATCTTTTCGTAGGTATGTATGCAATGTCTTTTGCATATGTGCAGGACACATTGGTGTGTGTGTCTCTCTCTAAAGCACCACGGATGCTTCACGAATGGTTGTTTTTCTATTCCTGCCGAATATGTAAATCTTAAGGTTTGAGCTTGGGTTCAGCAGTGTTTTTTTTTTCTCCCATCATGGACTCTGTCGTCTGCCCCACTGGCCCCTATCCTCCACTTCCACCAGCTAGACGACCCAACCGGGGTCACATTGGAGGGGGGGGTTGGACCCCCTCCTGCGGTTCCTGCTTGAGGTATTTTTATCGCGAGAAGGGTACAGCAATCCCTTCCCCCCCTGACACGCGGGGCTCTTCTGAACGCTATTCTTGCGGTACGTTTTGTTTCCATCTGTGACGCGATGTCTCCCATGCCTGCACATCTGCACCTTTTGCGCCGTTTGAACCGCTACACAGCAGGCGGTGGTGCCCAAGCCGCATCGGAGTCGACAGCACGTTCTAGCACGCCCATGCCGGAGCCGGTTGGAGGACCGAAGGTTAGTCCGAGGGAGGTGTACATAGTCTTATACATGCATGAGTCGTTCATGGGAGTAATCGAGAAAGAAGTCGGGGGCTCACGCGACTGCTGTCCGCGAATAAATCGAGCCCCATGAAGCACAACCTTGCCCCCGAGGTATCTAGTTCCCCTGCTTGGCGTATTACCGGCGCTGCTCAGCCGACCTGAGGTCTGACTTCGAGCAACATGCTCACCTCCTCCGAATGCCCGACGTTCATCAGACCACGTTGAATGCTCCAGCGGCGGCGATGAGGGCTGATGCCTGTGATATCGCTTCACCAGTAGAAAAGCAGCAGGAGCAACAGCAAGGGGAGGGGGTCGCGGATTCGAGTCCAGGGTACGCCCACAGGCTCAAGGCCGCCTTCCTAGACACCGTGGTAACGGCCCAGAGAGCGCCCGAGACGCTGGAGGAGGCCATGGCCGTGATCAAGGGAGAAAGAGCCGTCAAGCCGGACTACGTGAGAGCGGTCGGCACCGTGTCGGCGGTGCGTTCGAGCTGAGGCGAAGCCGCTGCTGTAGCTATCGAAGCCACACACGCTGTCCGGCCGTTGCTGCATGCATCGTCCATCATCCGACCGGATAATTTTTTTTTCCAGTAACTTGGCAGCGGGGAGTTTTGGCGGAGCAAGGAGACAATCGAGACTGCCATGCACTCCATGTCCCAGACGTTCCTTGACCTATAGCTCCGTTTGCCGAACTGGCCTATGCACCCAGCCAGGGTACTACTGTAGACGCGGCTGCCATGGCCGTTTCTTTCGTTGTGGGCTCGGCCTCCGTTCAACCTCCCCGGACTCTCGCAAGCATACAGCAGCAGCGCATGTCGGGGGCGACTTGTGCTACGTTTCCGATGTCTCAGATTTCCTGACGAAGTAGCCCCTTGAATCTTGAATGTGCTCCAGCTTCCGCATGCTTGTCATCGGGGAGAGCGTGAACCCCCACCCACAGCATAGCGCGCACAGCCTCGTTTTCCGGACTGTTGATAGAATCCATGTGTGCACCAACTCTTTGGGCAACCTTTGTACGGAAGCATCTGTCAACTCAGAAACCTAGAGCTCCGCTTACAGCCGCTAATCCTATTCCGGCTGGTGTTTTCGCCAGAGCAGCGTGCCTGCCTCAGCCCGCGCTGATTTTAGAACGCTTTGTCTGTGTCGTAGTATATCTATCAACACGTTCGGATTCGCACGACCCGTTTCGATTACATGTTTTTGTTCCTTGCGTACTTGCAGGCTTTCGCCGGAGGCTGCGCCCACGGCTGGTGGCACGGCGCGGCGCTTGCCGCCAAGTACCCTCCGCACCAACGGAGTATCGTCAGAGTGCGCGCGGGGGCTCGGAGGGGGCTAAGGCTCGCGACCTTCGCGCTGATATATGAGGGGTGAGCGCCCGCCCCGCGACGACCATATGCGACCGAACACTGATGAAAGCCTCCATCTAATGTGTGTAGCTTCCCACATCGAGAAACCTCCACGAAGGTGGGCGCACAGACACGTCCCGCTCACGATATTTCGGACTCTGGATGCATGCACCACTTTGCCCCACCTTGGCAGCGGCCGGTTGAAGGCACCGCTCCCTGAAGGTTTGCGCTCAGGGTTTTCTCGTTCACGACCATGGTGGTGCAACGGGTGCCGTCCTCGGCCATGGCAACCCTTGGCGAAAGCGGCCTTTCGGTAGAGACACACCGCGAAAGGGCACGGGTTGCACGTCCACGGAAAACTGGTGTTCCGTTAAAACGCGAGGAAACCCACGCCCCGTAGACTGACCTTTGAAAAGCTCGATTGCTCTACAGCTAAGGTGGAACGACAAGCGACCGATATGTACGTTGAAGGCAAGCTATCTCGACGAGATTAGTTCTAGCGCAGCCGTTTCTTGGGATTGATAAGCCTCTTGGTTTTGGAGTAATCGAGCTGTAGAAGTTTGGCTCCGGGGGGAGTGCGATCGCTCGCGCTTTCCCGGTACATATCCAGGTCCATAGTCTCCACCCTTTCTTGTCTTCATCGTAAACAGCAGCTATCGCTACATGACCAAATGAATCAACACACCAATCACCCTGGTTCTTTCAGCAGCAGCAGCAAGTAGTAGAGGTTTAAACTCTTCAATGTCCGCGATTTCCATTCGTTTGCGCTACTACACCATGCCCGCTCCCGTGGTTTTGGACGAGTTTCAGCTCATCTGCTGTTACGGAGGCCCTGCGACGGAAGAAGGACTTCGTCGGGGGCACGGTGGGAGGCGCGCTGGCAGGCATGGCATACGGTTTTTCATGTGAGTGATTGTGTGTGACTTGTTTGCTTTGTTCCTCTTTTTCTGTTGCACAGAATGTAGCTCCTCCCACGGGTGGACCTCGCTCTGTGATATATGCCCGATACGCGGTATACCGTAGGTGACAATAGGTTATGAAAACCCTCTGGACCGATTTTCAGTCTTTCCCGACGAACAGGATGAATATCTGCTAACGATGCGCTTGCGGTGAAGCTCCGATGAGGAGGCTCGGACGCTGCAATTGTTCGGCACCGCCACTCTTTCTGCGGTGGAGACATCGAGCTTTGATAGCCGGTCTAAGGAGGTGTACTTTGTCACGTCACTTTACCACGGTGCAACACGTACACCAGCACGGACTATCGATTCTCTATTGCATTGGTAGTCTCTTCACATTCGGCCATCTTGTCCTCTCTGACGGATATCTGTCCAGCCCTGGCAACGGGTGCATTCCGATGTTGGTAGTCGTTATGTACCGCACTTTTCCCAGGCACCGTTTGGCCCCGGCTGCCGCGTCAAACGCAAACCGAAAGGAGTAGACTAGCACCAAAATATGTTCTCCGTATTTGGAACGAACACAGTAGTAGTTTTGGGCCTAATCTTGAGCGCGTTTCTCCCGTTTTTTTTTCATGTTCATGCACATGGTGCTGCTGTTCTTGCTTGTTGTCCTGCAGACGGTATGGCCGCCGCGCGAAGCCATCTGTTCTACGGCTTCTGGCTCGGAGGCGTGTTCAGTCTGTTCAGGAATCACGTGGCGTCCTTGAGGGAGCAGGCCCGGCTGGCGGAGGAAGACAAGCGATTGGCACAGGTGGAGAGACGAAGAAGACCCGCCTCTGTTTTTTTTTGTTTTTTTGTCGCGTTCAGCAACAGACCGCACAAGCATGTCGCTTCACCGGGGTGTATTTGCGGTGGGGAAATTAATCATGCGACAGTTGTTGCTGTTGCTGTTGTTGTTGTTGTTGTTGTTGTTGTTGTTGTTGTTGTTGTTGTTGTTGTTGTTGTTGTTGTTGTTGTTGTTGTTGTTGACTTTGCTGAAAATTTCGGCGGGATTGTGTGGCTAGGGTTGCGACCAAACGGCACGTGCACCGAGCCAAGTGGGCTGTGGGTCGATTGGCCTGCGATTGCTTGCCTCATCGCATCATTTTGCAACATCCGTAAGGCTGAAGCACTGCCTGCCGTAGGCTCGCTCCGGTATCCACCCCTTTCATGATTTCGCTCCCCCACCCCTGAACTGTATGATGGTCTGTTGTTTGCCCACCCCCCTCGTCAGGAGGAAACATCGTTAGGATAGACAGACTAGGGAAGACATTTTTGAGCCACCTTTGGCAAAGTAGAAAGGAACGATTGGCCATCGGTGATCGGTCCTGTGGGAACAANNNNCCCCCCCCCCCCCTCGTCAGGAGGAGAGGGATGCGATCGGGGCGACGGCGCTGAGAAGGTCCATAGCAGAGATAGATGCCCAGCTCAGGACATGGCCCACTGCAGCCGCTGACAGCGAAGACGAAACGGACACGACGGAACTCGCTTCGTCACGAAGAACACCGTAATAGTGGCAGGCAGATCGGATCGGACACTGAGACAGGCCTGGATGGGGTTGCAGCCGAGGGTCTGGTGGAAAGGCTGCCTCTGTCCCATGCTGCGGTGCTGTTCGCTGAAGTACAGACCGGAGTGTGGCAGGGATGCCTCGGGCGTAGAGGTCGTTCGCTGCTCGCGATGAGATGAATACATGAGCAGCCGGGGCTGTACCAGAAGAAGCTCTGGCATGACATACGTCGAAGAGATGGGTTCGATCTTTGGATGTGGCTAGAGACACCGCGGATAGTTTATTTGGCCGTCGATTCTTCGCCAGAGCACACAACTTGGCTTTCATTGATCGTTTTCGGCATACCCAGTCCAACGATTTCATTCAACTGCAGGTACTCCTTTAAACTTTTCGGGCACGCTTTTAGCGCCGCGGTCGTTACACTGCTGTCATCTGTGTCAAAGCTAAATGACCGCAACCCTATGGAGGGAATAGGGAAGCGAAAGGGGGTTCTCGGTGCTTGTACACCTTACTGACATCATGTCGTGCCCACGGGCTGTTTGTGCACATAGGAAGCGTAGAGTCGACTCTTGTTGACTCAACTAACGTAAGCAATGAGCGAGAGACGGTGGTGATGGGCGAGGCAAGCAACAAAAGAACTATACTCGTTGCAGGTGCTCGTCACTCGGCAACTCGTTTGTCTGTGCATATACCCATTTCATTCACGTAGCCCCCGGAGGCTTGTAGACCAGCACTCTGCCGAGAGCAGCCGAGCACTAGCACCACCGCTGTGCGGGAGGAGTCCTCGGCCCCAGCTGTGCTTCTATACAGCAGTACAGACAAGCATCGAGGTAGAAGTTTGTAACGCGTGCACGGAGCGGAGAGAGGGTGCGAAGGGGGCCGTCGGTTGGGGAACATTCGGGTTTCCACAAGGTTCGGGAAGCATTATATATGGAATCTTCAACAGACATTCACCTATGCTGTAGAAACGAGTAGGGCGGCCGAGGCAGTTGTGGCGAACTACTAATGTTTTTTTTTGTCTCCCATCATTGGACTCTGTCGACTGCCCCTCTGGCCCTTATCCTCCACTTCTACCAGCTAGAAGACGACACAACCGGGGTCACATAGGAGGGGGGACCTGGACCCCTCCTGCGGTTCCTGCCTGAGTCATTTTTATCGCGAGAAGGGTATAGCAATCCCTTCCCTCGGGACTGATGAAGTCGATTAAGTTTATTAACAACGAGCTTTGCAGCGCGTCGCTTCCAACGGAGACTAGGGTATATTTAGCGAGAGGAAACCCCCTCTGTCGGGACTCGAACGCCTGACCTGGCCCTTAGCAGGCTGCGAGGCTACCCACTAGACCACCGGGGCGACCGGTGCTACGTACCCGGCTGATGATGTTGTTACGCCCTGTTTCCCTCCCTGCTCTAGTATGCTATACTCCTTTTATGTATTTCCTTTGTATTGCCTTCGGCCTCTGTGCTGTGGGAAGCGTCCTCCTCCTATATTGTCTTTGTTTTATTTTGATCGGTTTCCGAGGGCACTTTTCTCGACGGTCGGTGCGGTAGCTGTTCCTTTCTTTCTATCATTTTGTTTTCTTTTTCCGAGTGAGTGGTTTGTACCCTATTTTTGTTTGTTTCCCCGCGGCGTCGTATGTGCCGGGTTTTGAGGCCACGGGCTCCCCATTTTTGATGGACTTCTAGAGCTAATACACAGTTTCGGACTGGGGCTCCAATTTTTCCGGTTTAAAAGCAGATTTTGAGATAAATAAGAAAGCTTCCTGGAAGTTCTTGCAGGTGAAATATTTCACATTTAATTAAGCGGCTTCATGTGATTGGCTGTGGATCAACAGTCCTCTCACGAACTTCCCCTGTCCGCAGGTGTTCTTGTGCGCTGCGTGACAGCTGTGCACCTTGATGGCAAGGGGCTCTCACTGCTGCTGCTGTTGAGTGCGTGCATGCATGCGTGCGCGTGTTCGTGTCTGCGTCGCTCCCTCAATCTCAGCACACGAAATCGCACCACAGCAGTACGGAGACAGGAAGTGATTACTGTCCACTGACTCTGGCCGATAGCCTCTGAACGAAGTGCTATGTCGCGTTTCAAGCGTTCGCGAGAGAGACGGGGGGGTTGGGACCGGGAGGCACATACATCCGAGGCTAACGCTGCTCTTTCTAGTGGACACCAGAGGAAATACTCTTGCGCGCGGAAGGACGCGCCCGCCTTCACCAGAAGGCCACTACGTGCTCTTCCTCCTCCTTGCTCTTCTCCTTTGCTGGCGGTTTTGCCACTACCTCTCTCTACGTTCGTGTACTCTTCCTCCCCCTTGCCTCAATCTGACGGGCGTGTTGCTGACCTCAAGCCAGCCGCAAACAAATCCAACTTTCTGACCGTGCAGCCTCCCTGTTTATGTGTTGGTGGCGCGCCAACNCTTGCTCTTCTCCTTTGCTGGCGGTTTTGCCACTACCTCTCTCTACGTTCGTGTACTCTTCCTCCCCCTTGCCTCAATCTGACGGGCGTGTTGCTGACCTCAAGCCAGCCGCAAACAAATCCAACTTTCTGACCGTGCAGCCTCCCTGTTTATGTGTTGGTGGCGCGCCAACTCCAAGGCCTTTCGCTGGGCGCTGGCCTTCTCTTTGGCCGCGCTGACGTGTTCTCAGCAGACTGCTGCGTTGTTGTTGTTGTTGTTGTCTTCACATTAAAAACCGTTCCGATCTCTACCCAGTACCTTCGTATGTATGTCCGTACTGATCCTACACTCGACGCGGTCGATTCCCGTGGTCGCAGGCTAACTTACTACCCTAAAAAGGTACACACTCAAATACAATGGCCCCTAGGGGTCCGCAAGTCAATCGAAATCAACGACAGATAGTCTATATATTCTGGAGTCCTCCACTCCCTCTGCGCGCTATGCGAGGTAACAACTGAGACTACTGATCCTACACTCGACGCGGTCGATTCCCGTGGTCGCAGGCTAACTTACCCTAAAAAGGTACACACTCAAATACAATGGCCCCTATAGGGGTCCGCAAGTCAATCGAAATCAACGACAGATAGTCTATATATTCTGGAGTCCTCCACTCCCTCTGCGCGCTATGCGAGGTAACAACTGAGACTAGGAGTCACCATCACGGGCCGGAGAGAATGAGGTACACCTACTTGGTTCAATCTTGGTACTTCACAACGCAAGCCGAGACAAGGAAGGCCATCTGGCACAGAAAAAGAGAGAGAGAAAAAGAGAAGAAAATAAAGGGAAACAGTAATAAGGAAAGAGGAAATGAAATAAAGAGAGGACAAAAAGCCTTGCGGTGGTGGTGCATGTGATGATGATGTGTTACTTCGAAGAAAGTTGCTAAATCGAAAAATCGTGAAAAAATTACCACAAACCGAGCCTCCCTCCTGAAACTTTTTTCCTTGTTGTTGGTTCTGGCGAGACTGTCAGGAGCGATCGTCAGAACGACGGCTTAACTCAAAATATGTTTCCAAAATTTCTGAGTCCGAAACTGTCAAAATAATGTGAGAAACAACTTGTTTCTCGAAACAACAACAAACAAAAAATATTCCATCCCCAAATGACGGCACGGGACCCCCAAAACCGCGGAAAGCCTGTTGACGCTGTCGCCTACTTAGCTCTGCGCAACCACCGTGCAGTCTCTCCTCCTGCTCCCGCCCTGTCGCCTACAACTTGTCTTGCAACCTTGCAGCATGCCTCCGGCACGTACCCTGCAGCAATGGCCTCGAGGCCCCAGAAACAAGCTGCACAAGGCGGCGCACTTTGGCTCCGCGGACCGCACGCGGGCCCTCCTCTCGAGCGGGGCTTTCGACGTCAACCAGGGCACCAGGGAAACGAGAATCAAGCCAACAACCCAAAGGTCATCTTGCGGATAATACCCGCAGCGTCTACTACTGCGGAATCAGTAGCAAAGAGGCTCCCTCGGCACGAACACTATGAATGCATGACATTACAGCACCAAGCACTCACTCCCAGGGTCCAAATGATGCCACATCTTGTATAATAATAATAAACCCTAATACATCGTCAAAAAGGCGCCTCCAAGATTAAGATGACTCCCGAACATCACAGCACTAGACAACTGATCTACCCACCGAACAAGGGCGCCAACAGCGCGATGCGCCTTCTGATCCTTCGCCCCAAGACCGGCAGCATCGTCGCGAGCGGAGTTTCTGCCTTCTTCGCCGCCGTAGCTTTGCCCTCAGCGAGGGCGAGAGTATCATCGCTACAATCGCTCGGCCACAGCCAAGAGACAGCACGAACGGCGGCAACCTGCAGCAGCAGCAGGCGGCGGACGGCCTCCAGCTTGCGTAGCTTCTCCACGGTGGCGTCCCGCCCGTAAATCTTCCGCTCGCGCAGTATCCGCTCCGTGATGCTCAGCGGCGTGCCGTTGAACGCCACCTCGCCGAGCATGTTGGTAATCCTCGCGACGGCCGAGGTTGGCCGCCCCGGCGTCGATCAGCATTCGGATGATCCTGGGGGAGCAGGACCGCTCGGGGCTCACGCCGATGCCCGAGAGCACGGGTGTCCTGCCGCACGGGTCAAGCGTGTCGCTCACGTAGGACACCCGGGCGGTCTCGCGCCTCTTCTCCTGCAGCCCGATCAGAAACTTCACCGAGGCCTCGCGGCCGAACTCCGCCATGATGACCAGCGCCTGGCCCCCGGCGTCGGCGACTCCGGCGTCGGCGAGCATGGCCATAACCCCGACGTGCTGCTCCTTGGCGGCACCGCGGAGGGCCGGCACGCCGCCGGTAACCCCGGCGCAGCCCCTGATCCCGTTCTCCCTGAGAAGCTCGCGAACCACCCCGGCATGGCCGTACTGCACGGCCATGTATGTCCAGGGGCACGAAACTGTTCCCGGACGCGCTCGTGACGACGAACCGAGGATTCCCCTTCGCGCGAATCAGGATCCGGACGGCTTCCGTGTGGCCCTTGAACGCCGCGCTGTACATCGGCGTCGACCCGTCCGAAATGCGGCTGTTGGGGTTCGCGCCCGCCTCGATCAGGACTCTCGTGACCCCCGGGTGACCCTCGTAGGCGGCGACGTGGAAAGGGGTGCACCCGTCGGATGTCTGCCCCTTGATGTCCGCGCCGGCGTCGACGAGATTTTTCGCCACCTCCGCGTGACCCTTCTGGGCCGCGACGCTCAGGGTCGTGTCCCTGTCGCTGGCCACGATCGACGCGTTGGCCCCGTTGTCCAGCAGGATCTTGACGATGTGAGCACACTCTCTATCGACGCCAGCATGAGGGGCGTGAATCCTCCTTGAGGCCTGCCTTCATCGCGTTTTCATGCCGTCTGTCTGTCTCGTGCCACACCTCCAACAACAACCTTTCTTTCTTTGACGTTTTGCCATAAATTTCCAATGGCAACGAGCATTGTGGCGCTTGCTGCCATGATTCACGTGCTATATGCACTCGTCTCTATCGTGAACACGTTTTTGCGAGACAAATGGTGTTTGTTTCGATTGCGCAGAGTTTTGTATTTCCCGAGCTACAGCAATAGCTCTCGAGCCGAAGCTCGCCGCGACCAGCTATCGACCGGCCGTTCGCTGCCTTGCTCGGTTGTGTCGCCCGCCGTCTTGCCGCGAACGCCCACCTACCTGCGTGCCTGCTGCGCAGGTATTCATCAAGGCGGTAGCGGAAAGCGACTCGCGGGACGTCCGGAGCGACGAGAATTGTCTGTTATGCTTGGTCGGTTGGGGTGGAGCACATGAAGGGGGCCACTACTACAGCAGTCAGCACAACAAAGGTGCCGGCCGCGGGGATTTCTGGGCGGAGGTCAAGGCTGTTCCTTTGGTGGTGTGAGAAGTGGCCCCCGTGGTGTCCGTATCTAGCGCTGACAAGTTTACCAGGATGCAAACGGCGCAGTGCAAGGTTCTTCAGCTCGGTTTTAGGTTTGTGTGCTGTAGCGAGTGAATGACTGAGCGATGGCGTCTTACGGAATGACACTTTTGCGTTGATGTTGTTGGTCTCCTAAGGTGTACAGCAGCAGCGAAGCGTCGATGTCAAACAATTTTTGAGAAGAAGGGTTTCGTAAGGACGCGGACATGCAGCGTTTGCTGAGCATGTGGTATGAACGCTTCATTGCTGTATTTTTTTTTGCAGCAGCTTTCGCAGCTTTCGCAGTAGCTGTAGACAGCCGTGTTGATGAGGTATTGCAGGTGCTTCCCGTGGTGACGTGACTTCTTCACTATTTTCTCGTGCAAGGTTCGGAGTGACTTGCTTACAATCTCGTCTTTCCATACGAAAGGGGACCGATTGCTGTGGTTGTAAGGCAGATATGCTCTGTTGTGTGCTTTGTTGTTGGCTTTATTAGTCCTTCGGAGAAGAGATTGCGTTTTCCCGAACTTTCGTCATCCCGTCAGGGCACCTCTCTTCACCGAGGAGCTCCTGCCGGGCGTCGCACAAAGAGAGAACCCTAGACGGTGGATTGCTTGTTCTAGGTCGGTCAAGTGTCCCTTCCCTCACTGATGTACAATGTGTTATGTGTGGAAATCACGAACAAACGCCATCTACTGTACACAGGCGCCAAGTGCATGTGCATCGTGAAATGTGTGACCAAAGACCACTGGCCACGAACGATACACGTTGGTGGTGGACACGTCGCTTAGTTCGTGTTGTTACATACGTGCGTTAGAAACCGTTCCACTTCCTCCCGTGTCCCTTCGCAACTTGTTCCGCACTCCACGACCCAGCTACAACAGCAGCTGGTACGACTTCGTTCGATAGTCACAGGATACTCTTACCAAAATACGGGACCCGAAACAAACAAAACAACCAGCAAAGACATTTCTCGTCACGCACGAGATCAAAAAGAGAAGGAAAGTACCCACAGAAATGAGCACGTGTTGTGTTCAGATTGACTCTTACGTGTACATTGGTACAGAAATGGTGTGCGAAATGCACGCCGGGTCTTGAACAGTACAGCAGCAGCAGTGTACCCTCAAAGAAGCCTCTGTGACTATTTTCAGCATCGCAACACGGATCCGTGGTATCGGAAGGGGTTCGGTGCTCTTCAAAGCAAGGTGCGAAGTAAAATACTCTGGTTCTCTTTCCGCCCGATAACATTGATTTTGGGCACGGTGCCCTGGCTTGGCGCGGGTGAGAGCAAAAACACAACAACAACGAAAGGACAAAAAAACGGTGATGATATCTACCACCATGCGTGTGGAGAACGAGAGCCCCCCAACACTGCGGTGACATCAGTGTTGGAAGCTGCGCTCTAAACAAAGTTAAAATGCCAGGCAAAAAACTTGCTCCTCGCCAAGATTCAACAGACACATTATTCATCTTTACGTTACGGACAACGGACTACCGGAACCATACGCCGTGTAGCGAGCCCAGGGCAATCCGCCATAAATAATTTTACCCGGCCAAGGGTTCGTTCAGCGTTGGCCGTGGGGCTGGGCGACGACCGGCGGCATGGCCTTGAGCAGCAATCCCTCCACCGTCACCCCGGGGGAAAAGGAGAGAGCCACGACGTGCCGCAAGCCGCGGCCGTCGCCGTCACCGTTCTCTAGCAGTCGCTTGTGTTGCCCCAGCGCCCGCTCCAAAACAAATCTGGTCTCGTTTGTTGGCAAGGCAGGAAGAGAAGGAGGCGGATCGAAGAAGGGGCGACGTTTGGGGGGGGTGAGTCTTCAACACGAGAACCGTACAATGCGGCAGTGCCACGTGCAGCATAGACTTGCCAACAAAAACGGCCAAGAGTTCGTTCGAACTCGTTGTTTTCGGTACGATGGTCACAGCAGTGTCGCCTTGAGTTGCGACGGCTACCTTGCTGTTGGCAATCACTCGGAAATTCTAGCCCTCTCCCGGCCCCAACGCTGGGTGCATTAATAAACGTTGTGTCTGGACAAGGAGGAATCAGCACCGAAACAAATGAAGACAAGAAACATTGGTGCCATTTGCGTGGCTCTCACAGCGACCAACAAGCGAGACGCGAGCTAACGTAACGCCGAAAGGGGAGCCTGTCTCAGGCGCAGCAAGGACTACTTCGAGTTCGGATAACATGTGCCGCGAGGGAGTCGGACGAAACTCCTCTCTTGTTGGGATCCATCGAAACTGCACATAAAAACGTACGACAGAAGGACAAGCTTTGAGCACATGTCAGGTCTAGGCATGTCAGGTCGCTTTCAACCCACGGTAAATGGGCTTGAAGACGAAGAATCGGCTCGTGTTTCGAACGACGCAAGGTTCTACCGTTCGGCGAACTAACATATATTGCAACCCCGCAGATTCTAGTTTGCCGTGCGGGGGTGGGGGTGGGGTGGTAGTCGTCGTATTCTCACAGGACTGTGGCGGAAACCATGTTCCCGTAGTCTCGCAACACTTCCCAGCAACCCTCCGTCTCCTCCAGACTCAGGTGAAGACTCTTGCGCGTCTCCTGCAAAAGGAAAAATAAAACAGAGAGAGTTGCTGTTTTTGTTGTCGCCTTCACATTGAAAACCTTTCCGATATCTCTACCCAGTATATCTCCTTACTGATCTAACACTTGAGAGTCCACGAGGTCAATCAAAGCTTACAAACGTACACAAACGCAGAGAATGCATGTAGGTAGCACCTCGTGTGATCGGTAGGCGTCCGCGACGAAACGTCAGCCCCGATTCTTTGCTCGGAGAAAGGGGGGTTACACACCCATACGTTTAAACTCACATGTAACGTGCTCACATGCATACAACACCACCGCTACCACCACCAACTACAACAACATGCCAGAGGGGGCGACACGACCGACGAAGGAGAATAGGCGGTGGTGTGACCATTCGCAGTAGACCAATGTACCTACCTCAACGATACGGTGCCCCCCCGGATGAAGCGCCCAGAAATCGACGTCACCCTTGTCGACGCCATGTGCCCCCAACATCTGCGCCAAAAGCAACAACGAGCGGCAACAACGTTTCGGCCGGACATTAACACGCGGGTACTCAAGGGTGCTGACACGTTAAATTACGCCGTTCGCGGGACCCACCCACCCACCCCCCCGAAGCGTTGGCGGGGAGCAAACAATTTCGTCCAAGCACGAACCTCCTCAAGCCAAAAACAAAAAAAAAATCATCGTGGTGTGTACGACTTCAAACACCTGTTCTCGGGCACGAAACTGGCGCCAACACGAACAACACGAAGCTACTTTTCGTCACAAAGAGCGAAAGAAAGGCGTGCACGCGTATTCACGTAGGTAGATCGGTAGTCGGCCACGACGTCTTCCTTCGAGCCGGCCTTGCGCGCATACTCGTCTGTCCAGCAACAGCCGACCATAGCGGAGCAGTACACAAATCGACGGCCTAAAGGACCCACCTCACCTCTACGGACCGACTCGGCGGGTACGCCGCACACCACCGGCTCAAGAATGCCCACCACAAATGACAACACCGTAGATAGGTGACATGCAATATCACACCCCTTGGACCGATTTTCCAAAGCTCCACAGCACAAAGGAGTGGCGGTGCCGTCTCGTCGAGAGCTTCACGAAAAACGTTCCGTTTCATCGGTGCATCCTCTTCGTCGTCGAGTATTCGAGCCTTGAAAACCGGCCCCAAGGAGGGTTGGGTGTGGTGTCTAGTGTCACCTACACGATAGCAGCCTACACAACCAACACCTAGCATAGAGGTGGAACGGCACTGTTAAGCTATGTGAGCGTACTGCTGTAGCTGACTGACCAGAAAATAGTCTACAAACACACCGCTGTGGAATTGAAAATTCGGCCCCAAGGGCTGTGTGGTATCTATGTAGTGTCACCTACACGATGGCTGCCGGCACAACCGACACCTAGAACAGAGAGAACGGCGTGTTTTAGCTTGTGAGCGTACTGCTGTAGCTGACTGACCTAACATAGTCGTAACACAATAGTCTATATGTTACTGCTGTGGTACCCACCTCCTCAACGAAGTCTGCGACGTTGGTTTTGACGTAGTCCGGTAGTCGCTTCGACAGCGTGCACGACACGCCGTTGTCACCGAAGGTCATCTTGATCCCGTCCTCCGTACCGTCCACCTTGGCGGTACGGTAAGGATTCATGTGTAACGGAAAAAAAAAAATAGACAGGTTGAGGCGCCGTGGGTACAGCCTGCGATGCGATCGGACTGCTAGTTTTGGACGAGCTGGTTGCATATGTACGTACCATTCCTGTCCCCGACACAGAGTTGACTCCCTCCGTGTGCCTTGCCTGCGAACTCTCGCTAGGGCCCCACACGGGTTTCTCCTCCCGCCGAATTCCTCGCGTGGGATTCGGGGGGAGCGAAGGGGAACATCTTCGCCTTGTTTTTGTAATCGTAGACCCAAACCAAACCCCAGATAAACAGAACGATTGTGCGGCGTGCTCGCTTCTTGACTTCAAAAAAGATTTCTTCTCCGACTGTGTGTCGGCGCACCGCTTTTTGAAAGTCCGGCCTGAACAACTCTGGTCGTGTTCGTGGTTGTCTTGTTGTGCCGCTCGAATGGGGTGGTTCTTCCATCGTAAGGACGGAATCCTGCTGCCATGTTGCCTCTTTTGAGCGTGACGGAAACAACTCGAGCGTTACAGTACGCTTGATCTTCCCTTGTGAACAAAACTCTCCGTCCTTGGTCGTTTGTTTTGGCTCAATGGGGACCAGGATGGACGAACGGTGGTCCATCTCGTAATAGAGCAGGGTCAATGGCCAGACGAACATGAGACAAGAAACGTCCTAGCACGATCCCCGCCCTACCCCCCCCCTCGCCTGATATATAGTAGCCGGAACCTCCCGATGTTCCGTCTTGCCCCCGATGTAGCCCCAATTTTGTGACGGGTTGCTTCCAATCTGACTGTTGTGGTCATTGGCTGGCTGCCCTCGACGTACCACGGTTAACGCGTCTTTCCAGAAAACCAAGACCAATCACAACCAAGTACTACTCACCACACAATCATCAAACAATAAACACACACACGGTCACATACCTTCCAGCCTGGTCTACAGAATGAACACCTGGTATCTATTGTTTCAACAAATAAACACACACAACAATGGCTACATACTTCACAGTCACAGAGATAGCACCTGGTACATATTGTTCCACCTGTGGGCACCACATGTCAGTATATAAGGCTTGGGGCACCTTATCTCGTGCCGGGCAAACACCCTTTTAACAGTGGCGTCAGCGGCAAGATGTCATTCTTGCAATGCAAAAGACCCGGGATCGAATCCGGGCACGTGAAACGGGTTTTTTGTCCGCCGCCAGCCGGTCGGGTTCCGGTTACCGTACATACTACGGGGGGTGCGTTGTGGTACCCGCGTATTTGTCTACGATGCTGAGCTGTCCGCTCGTTCGTATCCGGGGAGGTATGTGGGCACCACATGTCAGTATATAAGGCTTGGGGCACCTTATCTCGTGTCGGGCAAACACCCTTTTTACACACCTATATATATATATACATATCTTTTCATTGCTCACCAGCCAGGATCGGTTGTCCAGGACCGCCAAGGACCCCGGCTCGGCGTTTCTCGCCGTCCGCCCGGCCACCACCGCCACCGCACACCCGTCCCCGAAGATAGCGTGCAGGATCGCGTCGTTCACCGTGTCCCCCTTCATTCGTTTTGCCGTTACAATTACGGCGGCCCCAAGTGTGAGAATGAAACGCAGCGTACAAAAACACAGCGGTGTGGCGTGGAGCGTTAAACGAAGCGGGACAAGTCTGGACGGCGTTATCTTCTTGCAGCAAGGGGGAAGAGGTGCTGCTGTAGATCGTGAAAGCTGCATCGGGGGAAGGTCGTGGTTTGCGGTTGTGGCTGAAAGCTGCCAAGTATCGTTTTCTTCTGCTACATGGCACCCGACACAGGGGGGGGCAGAAAGCGCTGCAATCGAGGATTTGTGCATCGAAAGTTCGACCAGTCGCGGCCGGCGTAAGATCGTTCAAAACTCTCCCCGTGGTCTTAAACAAAACTCATCATTTCCACGGCCCTCAACATGTGCGACGAGGTCTTCCAGGGGAAGCTTCCGCATGATTGCCATCGCTTGCGAAGAGCTGGCAATATTTGACGTCGTGGAGCACGTACGTGCTGACACGTTCGCGCATGCAACCACCACCCCCGCGCGCACGTAGGGCTTGCGTGTGCACTCCACAAATCTCACAAGGTCATGCTTGTTGTTGAATAAAAACCTTTCAGATGTTCTTGCGACTACATTGGTGCTAAATAGTTGGCATCACATCGCTGAGCATAACTCTGTGTACAAGCATGAATAGACCCGAAACAAGCCCCAATATCCAGTCGGTAATTCTGCCATGCACCGCAAAGCCTTCGACACCACCCCTTCGATGTGGTTATATCTGAAACGGGTGTACAGCCTGTCTTTCTGCGATTGTATGTACATGTTCTTGACAACACTCAAACACACGCACCTTGTGCATGTGCAAGGAAGGGAGTTCCACAGAGACAAGCAGTGCCAGCCGCCCAGGGTGCGTCACCGCGTACTGCGAGGCCAGGCGGAGGCCGTTGATCCCGGCGCCGCACCCCTGGAAGGACACCACCTCCCTCTCCACCGAGTGGTTCAGCCCGATGCTCTTGACGAGCTCTCCGTCAAGCCCCGGCCCGCACACCTTTTAAGGTCCCCAACAAGTAGGACGATAGCCAACAGATTGGTGGCGATAACTAAATGGCGGCGATTGGGTGCCGATTATTGAGGCGTTGGGGGTCACGAACACCGATTGGGAACATGGTGGGTAGCACGAAGACGCCTTGATCCGGCGCGGAAACAGAAAACTCTTCAGGGTGGGCTCGCCATCGTTGAAGGACGCGTGCTCTTCTCGGCGGCAAAAGGTGTACTAAGGTGTACGGTATCGTGCCACACACAACGCGAGGGAGACGGCCGCATGATCCACCCCGTTTCCCTTGTTATCCGATTAGACAAGAGCCTTTCTCGGTCAAAGCGACAAGCAAGTGTGCGGATGCAAGCAAGTGCGGATGGAAGGAAGCAAGTGTGGTTGGAACCGTCGCCTCGGCACCGTCACGCACCCCCGTGGACGTGACGACCACAATCCTCCCGACATCCGCGGGTCCCACGCCGACTTCTCTCAGAGCCCTCTTGGCGACCCTCGTGGCCAGAGGCAACGCGCACTCGGCGAACCGCTGGAATCGTCGGTCGGTGTTAACCCTCAAGCTGATTTGGTGACGAAAAAAATAAAAAAACAAGGAAAACGCCAGCACCACAGAATATCAAACAAAGAAGGACCGGATTGCACGAAGGGGGTGGGTGTGGAGGGGCGGGGGTACTCGCATTATGCGGCGAGACATAAAAAGAAACCGCCAACGGACGTCAAGGGAAGGACCGACGAGAGGATGGAGGGGGATTCTCCCTAACATGTGTGCATTGCTACTGCTGTCTCCAGGGCATAGTCTAACCCCTTGGACCCTTGCATCTCTCGCAAAACGGCGGGACATCCCTCTGGAACGGGGACGACGCAGCACAGCAGTGGCGCCTCGGGTTTCCGCGAATCATGATGGCGTGATGCTTGCACCAACGCGCCGCAATCGCCGGAGAACGGCCGCGAACAAGGGAGGGGAGGGGGAAGGTTCCCAGCAACCGGAGAATATGAGCAGACGGGTACATTATGTAGTAGCCCTCTCGCTCTCTCTCGTTCTCTCGTTTTCGGCAGAAACACGTACACCAGTTTGCACCGCGAGGACCATGGCCGTAGAGTGAACTGAACCGACGAGCTTCGCAACTGAAAGAATCGAAGCGAGCTCGTAAGCTGCCCCCTCCCACACACCACTTTCTTCAACCTAGTGCAAGAGTTGACCTCCGACAACGTAGAGCAGCCCTTCATTCCCTTCACCTGCCATCCTCGGGGTAAAACATCTCCGCCCCCGCCGCTGCCCCCCCTCCCCCCCCCTCTTCCGCCAAAATGCTTTCCGCGAGCATCGCTTGGATGGCGGCGTCATCCTCCCGCAGCTCCTCGCCCAGCCCTGAGCCCCCCCCGCCCGCTCCCGCTGCCGCTAGGTCGGGTACGCAGAAATACCGATTGTTGATCCGGGAGTTGTTGTAGACCCGGTCGAGGACGCGAGCGATGGGGCTCGACGGATCGGTCGCGCCCGCCGCGTGCCGAAATGCCTGCTCCTTGGAAACCCGGTACTCGGGGTTTCCCGTCGAAATGCTTGTTGTTGGGATCGGAGCAGCAAAAAAAAAAGGGAAAACCGCCAGCAAATGGGAGGTGAGGGTTAATGGATGCTGCAACAAACCAACAAGTACAGGTGAAGAAGCAATGTGCAAAGCTCGAAGGCAACAAAGTCCGAAACCAATCCCACGGGAGTGGGTCAGGAGCGCGGGGCGGGCGAAATGAGAGGCGTGCCAACAAAACAAATAATGCTGGTGCTGCACGCCGTTTGGGTGGTCTGCTCCCTCCCCTCTGCCTCCACCAATGATGACGGGACAGAGAGCACAGATGTTCCACACGTATCGAGGCCCTCGAAATGGGACCTTGTCGGCCCTGTTACTTGTCCACAGCAGTCAGAGGCGTGGAGAAGAGGGTTGTGCTAACATCTCGCCCGCCCCGGCTTTGTATACATACTAACTTTGTCACTTGGAGCGTATGTCAGGCATCAGGTCCCACCGAGCGAACCACAACACTAGCGGCAGCAATAACGGCCGTACGCATCCACAGGTGAAGGTTTGAATCTTCTGTTAGATAACAATGGGTTGTTACTGTGAGACGGAGAGAGAGCTTCGGGTCCGAACGAAACCAATACAACCTTTGGCTTGCATGCCGTGGATGTCGATAAGACACCGACTACATATGTATTGACTACTAGGAAGCCCAAGACCACCGGCTCGCTACCGTTGGACGATCCAAGATACCCAGAGGGCGGGTGGCCAATTCGCGTGATGAGGTGAGATATGCACATAAACATGTTGAGTGGAGATACACATGTTCGTAAAAGCCTTCTGTTGAACATGCTTGCGTATCATTTGTACTGAGGACAGCAGACGAGACCAAGACTCAAGACACAAGGTGGCGGAAGAGAGAATGAACACGCTGCGTTCATCCTCACAGCCCCGAGCACCATGGATCAACCCTAAACCCAACCCAGGGTAACGTGTCAGTTCCTATCAGCGACACCACAAAATACAGTCCCGTAGCTAGTCCCGTTGGTACATCCTACTCCGTCCATGCACACACGAACAAGACACAGCAGTGCTGTACGCTTGCTTGTACATGTCTCCGCCGACCGCATGTAGACTAAAGTTACAGCAGCAAGTGACACATGATACCGCGCCCCCTGGACCGACTTTCAAAGATCGATTACTCCTATCATACAAACTTAGAGTAGAAGGTGGCAGCCGAATAGTGTTGTTGTTGTTTCTCACGTTGGCTCTCTAGTCCACAAAAAATGGGGAGCCCGTGGTCTCAAAACCCGGCACATACGACGCCGCGGGGAAACAAAACACAAGAAAAGGGTACAAACCACACGGAAAAAGAAAAAACAATGATAAAAAGGAAATGACAGGATATATATATATATATATATGTATATATTTATATATGGCGGAATGGAACCGTCTCGTCGAGATCTTTCCCACAACGTATCGTTTGGCTGATGGATTCTCTTCTTCGTGGAGTAGTCGAGCTTTGAAAATCGGTCAAGGGGGTGTGCTATCTTGTGTCATATCGACCACGGACAGATAATGATCATGTCGAAAATTGAAAATATAATTTTGACCTCCGGTGTTTCCTCCCGTTGTTGTCGCTATTAGCACAGCACAACACTCTGTGGCGTGGCGGCGGCTACAGCTACCGAACAGAGGACATGCTGCCAAGTGAATTATCCCGCAAGTAGGCGATGAACAGCGGCAGTCAACCAAACGCGCCTGTACAAGCTATTAATAGCTGGTTCTGTGTGTTATAGGCTGGTCTGCTGTGCTCTCTCGATCTCTCACCCAAGTATCACAGCGAACAAGGCCTCCCCGTCGTTTTTCGTGCGCCGTCTCCTTGCTGCTACAAGCCAACAGCCGCACAAGCCGGCAAGCAACGAGAACAGCACGTGGAAACGGCCGAGTTCCTGCCACGACAACCATGTCGGTAGTAGTACCATTTCCACTCGCTGTGTCTCTGTCTCTGTTCCCCGCGTGCTGACTTTCCCGGTGCGGTGCTGGCTGAAGGGCTCGTCGTCATAGTGTCGAAGAAGGGACTTCGCAGAATCGATAACGGGCGATACAGTATGGATAGGTGCGTGAACAGAGATCAGCAACCACAACCACATTCCAATGATTACCGTCCACATCACATCATTAACGTGATTTTAACTCGCACGCGCAAAACCAAGGAGAGAGAGAGAGAGAGAGAGAGAGAGAGAGAGAGAGAGAGAGAGAGAGAGAGAGAGAGAGAGAGA